ACTTTTCATAATCCCACTCTTAATGCTATAAAATGTTATTTTCATTAATTGATTTATTCTAGAAACTAAAAAAGTGATTTAAATGTATCTAAATCTTACTATAAAATATTTTTCCTGAGAGAGGGTAAATAATGGGAAGAGTTCTATAAATTTTAGGATAGAAAACTTACGCTATTTTTAGAAAAATCTTTTTCAGTATTTACGTTAATCTTCAGATTTTTTCTCCCCATAATATCTAAAAGTGTTTGTGTGTAAATAATTTTGTAGCAATAACATAGACATCATCAAATGATAGTTTTCGAATTACATAAAAGTAAAACATTTACCATGAAAATAACTTATAATTAAAAAAAGGGGAGAAGTTTTAATTAATAATTGCGTAAATGTTTCAACAAATCTGTAACTTCCGCTATACATTTATTAATAGACCACTCAAAATTGTTTGCCAGTTTAAATATANCAGATTTCTGATGCATCGCCTTGAATGAAAGTCGCTGTATCGTCTTGCCGATATATGCGTTAAATCGATATGTCTCGATACATCGATTTATAGCCCAGTCCTAATCACCATACGTATAGTATACATTCCTCTGCCGGTGGAAGGAAATGTTAATTTTATTTCTGTTTCTCTGAATAAATTATTTAACTCTAAATCAATATTTAATTTTTTCGAGTCGGAAATTAAAGAGCTGTGAGAACTTAAACGGGGAGATATCTGTATCGTTATCTGTGGCAGAATAATCGCCAAGTCTTGTAAACTTCCGGGCAGTGGCCCGCGAGAAACTAAAAAAAAACATCACAGAAAGGGACCAACTCGAAAGCTATAACTCGTAGCCACCCCCGGGCAAACATCTACATGCTTTTTTTAAAAATATTTACAAGTTTAAAATCTATTTGGCACCTTGGCTATTCTAGTTGGCCCGTCAGAGCACGATACGGAAATATCCCCAGAACTTAATGGCTAAAGCAATGAGCTTAGCCCTGGTTAACAGTGAGAAAAATCGTTTTTTAACTGTTTTCACCTAATACGGTTATTTAACCGGAAAAAAGGGTAAAATAAACGTGCAATATTGGATAATTATCTATGTGTTCTCTAAAATAAAAGAGAGTAAAGATAAAATTTCGTAAATGTGGCAAATGGGCAGGCGAAATTTGTCGTATTTCCGTGATCTCCCACCCTGATTGTGCCTCAAATTTTCCATACCATTTGCTATAAACGGTAAATTGTTTATATAGAGTTAGTATCCGTATTTTTGTCCAACCCCTGTATATCGTAGGGAGGGAATGTTTCATAGTGACTTTCATTTATTTATTTATTTTCGCTTTCTTCTTTGTAACAAGATTATCAAAATTAACTGTCACTACTGGCAACAGAATGAATAAAATATAAAAAAATGCGATTAAAAAAATTATGCAACAGTTGACACTCGATTACCATTATCGTCAAAGAATCACCCCACTTGCATTTTATTATTTTATTTAATAAATATGGAATTATGAGAGTTTTATAATACTCTAAAAACTACTTTATTGCACGTTTGATTCTTAAAAAAATTTCTTAGTTTTCAGAAATCTCTTGAACTATCGAACTGCTTATCATATTTTGAAAATTCTTTCATACAACAACAATTTTTTTAACCGTTCATTAATATCAACATTTTTTTTAACCGTTTAAAATTTTCAATTTCTAAAAAAGAAACCATATATTTTAAAAAGTTGCTGTTAAAAATGATATAACTGGCTATTGATTAGTAGCAAAATTACCTATTTTGTCCTGTATAAGACCATCGTTTTAATAAGAACTTCATTACATTTATATTCACAACATAAACTACATTAAATTTATACTTCCTAGGAAAATTTGAAATGAATTGGATGAATATTAAAGGAGACATTATGTTGACGAGTATGAAATATGCCGCTGAGAAAATGCAGCTTAAAATTCATGAAAGTAAACTTCAACCAAATGAGCGTACATGCATAAATTCTCTGTAAGCATCCATCCTTCTCTTATAAATATGCGATTTTCGCTTATACCATTAAAACTTGTTCCTACTATGAAATTATATTAAAATAAAAACCAGATTTTATTGAGTTATTTAATATTTGTATTAACATTGATGTACCCTTAAAGGAAATAGTTTGATAAATTTTATTATACCTGTATAGAAAGGGTTTAAAACTACAATGTAGGTACAAAAAGTTTAAATTAACTATCTCTTACAAAGCTTGTTTCAAAATTACATATGGAAAATAAAATGTATGCTAACTTCAAAATTTTATTAAAATTAAATTTCTTAAAAAATAATGTCATCGAAACTGTAATGCCAGACACTTTGACAGACAAGTCATTTTAAAGAATTTCAAATTAAACTAGATGCTTTATTTAATGCAACATTTATTTGGAAATAATAAACTCATTCATATCACGCATGAAAAATTAATTGAGAAACAATGTAATATTTATGAAAAGTTGTCTAGACTAAAAAAAAATATAGTAATAATAATATTTCATTTCACACAACTACACTAATTAACAATTTAACACAATGAAAATACCATTAATAAAGTTAATTTTGTGTAAAATAAATATTTGCTCACATTTCGATTACATGAAAAGTCTCACTAAATTAATACAGCACATTAGATGCAAATTTTGCCTGTAACTTTTCATTTTGTGTATTATATTGTATCTAAATGTTTTAATATACCTCACAGTAAATGCAGCACATCCTAGATAATGTATAATTCTCACTTATTATGTCTTATCAACTCTAAATATGAAAAATAACTTGATACATTTGTCGCAGGCTGATCGGACAATCCTGCTTCTTACGAATGTCGTCCTCGTTTTGCTATTTGTCAAGTTCATCGGAAAATTCTCTCATTCAGTCTCATATTTTTCAGGCTTTTTACAATTAACCAAGAAGCGTTTAGGCTAATTAAAAAACGTACAAATACAGGGTATTAAATAAAAATGGTGAGTTAAAAATTTAGGTCATTTAGGCTAATTAAAAAAAAAACCTAAAAAGGACTGTACCACCTGGTGATTTTTAAGACAATACAAAATATGGGTGATATACAAAAAGCATGATGATGTACAAAAAGCATACATCGAGTGTTCTATAATCAGAGTCCTTAATATATGTTTTTAGAATCCGTGTGAAAAAGGAAATCAAAAAAGCTTAAATATTAGGAAATCGCAAATAAACATTTAGGCGAGAAAAAAGCAAAAGCACTATCGAAATCTAACAGATCGTTATAGAGGAAGGTAGAACTTTAAGCATTAAAACCAGTTTTATTGCCTGGGGAAAAAGTGGAGTTGAAAAGCAATTAATAGAATTTTCTAGACTATGACTTACAGCTGCACTGCTAATAAGGAGAGAGAGAAAATGCTTTAATGAGAGCTTGACTGCTATTTAAATTAAAATGAAATGTCATACATAATTTTGAATAAATAAATTATTCTGTTTAATATTTGGAGGAAAAAATTTTATGAAAAAAAAAACCTTGACTTCTTCAAAAAAATTTTACAAATTGTTTACAAAAAATTACGGATTAAATAGAATAATATCTAAACATATTTGTGGAATGAAGATGAGCAATAACATTTTTAAATTTGTTGAGCAGGAAATATGTCAATGAAAGTTCTTTTTTAAATGTTATTTGCATTTAAACTTTATTTTATTCCAACATTAATTTAGGTTTCGTGATAAAGTCATCTATGCTATTGCAGTATGCACTGAAAAAGTTTTCGGGAAAAGCTTTGCCATGGTCGAAATTTCGATCACATGACATTTTTATTCTACTTCAAACTTTATTTTTTTTTTGAAAACGAATAATAGTGCATTGTTCACTAGTTCGTTTTACATTTAGCTTGTAAACACGTGCCATAAAGTACCTATGAGAGACACGCTCATTAGAGGAAGGTACTTTTCGATGAAAAGTATGTTAAGATAAAAATACCTGAATTAGATGTATCTTTACAAATCGAAGATGAATAATTACATATACAAGATGTTTCACATGGAACGGTTGATTAGAAAAAGTATAATGTTCCTTAACAATTTTTGAGTAACTGTCTTTTTTTTTCCTTCCTGAACACCAATTCGATTTGGTTTACAGGATTTGATTACTAGGTGCTGGTCAGTGCTACTCATATTTTGCTTATAGTTTGATTTGCGTCATATATTTTAATTATATTTTACAATAAACTTCAAAAGACGCAAATATGCTTCTATATTTGGTATATCATATTAAAACCAACATTCTTTTTAAAAATTCATCTGCTGTATGGAATGACCAAAGCTTATGTTCTTAATTGCAATCGAATTGATGCAATTCATTCATATGAAATATATTTTTTTATAATATATTAATTTCGATACGCAAAAAAAAATATTTACCCAATCAGGCAACCTGTTATTATATTTTTTTTTCTGTGTATTTCTTTATGTCTTATTTTATTTCTTTACGTATTCGTTAGAGGGGCTTTAAAAAACATCCACAGATCCTATTTTCTTTTAGCACAATACCAGTAGTACCTATTACCACAATTAACGCTGGCGTCATAAATAGTATGGCAATTATGGTTATCTTTAACTTAAAAGTTTATTTTTAGCGTAAAAAATGCTTTTGCAGAAATTTTAGTTAAAATTTACAGTAAACATACGCACCTCAATCAGCTTTACTCACTCTATCATGGTCAGCAAATTAGCTTTGCCTGAAATCAGATTTTTGGAAGCGTTGATTTGTTAAACGAGACGAAGATCTACATCTAAAAATTTCTCCTTAACTCACATCAGGTTGCTGTGATGATATAAAAAGAACAAAATAATATATCCATTTCAGTCTTTGAGATTTAACACTGTCAAATAATTGCATTTAATAAAAAGTCTCATAAACAATTTCCAGGTTTTTATTTAAACTTTATCAATAACGAATAAAAACGTCTTTTAATATCAGAAGATTCTTGCTTTTCGTCGAAGAGAGGCACTTTCTCAATCGTGTATGGAGTACTGAAATCTGCAACGACCCTTTCTTTTTTTGTCACCACTTAAGCTATTGCTTTGGCGTAAATATGTAGGGGACGGTACATCCAAATACGAGAAATAAATGAGTTCTCCTAATAAAACAAGCCCTGCAATGACGTATCCGAAAAGAAGAAAAATAAAAAGATCAGATAATTCTTCCAAGGTAATCATTTGTGCAGATTCGGAAAGTGTGGACAAGTCTGCTGATAAACTATCTAATTTTCTCCACTCATCTTTTTGATACTTCCAAAACAAGCCGGCACTAAACATTCTCTGAATTATTTTGTTGAGATTTTCTTTGAAACAGAAATCTTTAGATAGCACGAGAGCCATGTTCCATGACACCAATATGTCCTTTGAAATCTCTGTATTTCTGCTAAGCTGTCTGCTTAACAATTGCAGTTTCAACTGTATGTTTGACACTGCAATATTCTCCAAACTGACATCGCCATTCGCCAAATCATCGAAATTGACGTACCATTTATGTTTCTCAATCGCTCGGCCTAAATATTTCAAATCTTCATCTGCAGAGGATGTGAGAGTGGATGGTATGCTACTGCCTGTTTCAACAAAGCAACGGTACCCTCTATTCCTCACAGCCAATGAAAGTTCCACAAAGTTTTTAATTGGAAGATCTTGCGTTGGCACTGTTAAATTAGTTAGAAGTGTCGCTGAATAACTCCAAGATATTATTAGAACAAAGAACCACCAAACAGCTAAAAACATGTTTGCTTTAAATGTTTGCTGTTTCAAATGAATCATCTGTTTGAAGATACTGCCATATAGTTCGAATAATATTGTAACATAAGAATATTTTTTACTAAGCAATACCCTATAAACGGTTGGGTATAACAGTAAAGTAACAAGCAAGCAAATCCACAAAGTAAAGGTGAATGGTTTCAAAAAGCCTAAAACATGATCCGGAGTTTCTTGTTTTTCCACGAAAAAAGTCACTTCTTGAATTGTGTATGGTGTGCTGAAGTCTACGACTGCCATTTTTTCTTCTGACACTGTCATTAGACTAAATGCCATGTCTGCTTCATTTCTCTGCGCCATGCCGATTAATCCAGTCCAATTACCCCCTGCCATTGGACGACCGAACTCTCCATCCGGCGAAGTGACCAGGTTGTATTTGAAATTGTTGTATTGTGAAAGAATGTCCAAAAATTTACCACCAAAGCCACCTAGCTGGTTGTTTGTTATTATTTCAAATGCGTATTTCAATGGTTTCACAGCAATAGTTAAATTTCTAGTTCTAGATGAGCATAGCTTTTCAATCATGACACTAAAAAAATATTATGAAATCAATAAATAAGTCAGTATCAAGGAATGATCCATAAGCCTTCAGGTTTTTCAGATTATACTGTCCACACATTCTTCTAATCGTTTTCAGAGAAATAAACACTTAAAAATTCATTCTAGCAATCATATTATTCCTCTAGTTATCATCTCGCTTGAAAAAATTCGTCTTTTACCATTCAATTTCTTAAAATCTTATTGTGTACCATTTTCCCCTCTACTTTTGAAACTCCACCGTTTTACAAAAACTTCTTGCAATCATATTGGCATCCTTTTGTTACTGCGTTTGTGTGAATTACGAATTTAAAAATTCATTTCACTCAAGTTTCTTACAATCTTTTTCTTATTTCAGTTCTACTTGGGTTAATACTTAATACTTATAGTTTCAGTTTTTTTCATTAACTTGTTTGGATATAACTCAAATATTGAAATTCGATTTCTTGCTGTAATATTTCCTTTTTTACCATTAATTTTTGAAAAAGTTAACTGTAAAAAATCCTTGTACACAAATTTCTCGCAATCAAATTGTTTGCCTTTTGATGCTACATTTATATGAATTTCACTTTCAAAAATTAATAACACTCACGTTTCTTGTAACCACAGTATGCTTTGATTTTTCTACTCGCTTCGAAAATTCAAGTTTCTTGATATATTTTCCTTTTATTCAACCGTTGCTTGTGGATAAAGTTTTGGAGAACTTCTATGCCGACCCAATCAGTAACTTTCTTGCACAAATGGCTAACTTATTTGACTTCTTATCTTCTGTAGTTTTCAAAAGATATAATCTCAATAAGTCGCAATTCAACTCTACTTATTACTTTCCAATTACATCGACTTTACAGTAAATATATTTCGCAATAGCATACATATTTAATTATTTATCTCATACTTAACAGCATAATAATTTTAGTGAGTGTGTGCTGCAATAACACATTTTTCTTCTAACTAAATATGGTTAGAAATATAACGAAATAAACGTGATCAATATCAAAACGTTTAGAACTTGTTGACATATTCTTGAAAAAATATAAATAAGCATACCATTATGATTTTACTTAGCTAATTTTTGGATTACCATCTGATAGCAGACTCGGAAAACAGCATTGTATACAATTATTTTCAAGAATGATATTTTCTAAAAAACATTTTTTTCCCAACTGGCAAAAAAAAAATGCTCACGGAACGCATAATAGAACATTTTCGTGCTTACAACAGTAATAAATATTAAAACATTATGTACTCAACCTCTAGCATAAAGTGGGTATTGATTATTCCACAAAATTGAATATTCTGGAAAATAAAGGTTTATAATCTTATTTTGTGCAGGATAATTACGTTTATCGAACATCGCATAAAATCTTAATAATGTTATTAAGTGAAACATACCCATGTGGATAGAATAATTAGTTAATCACTATAGCAACCCACAAAAAAATGGTAAATATGTATCAGAAAAAACTATAAATAAGTTCGCGTATGAGCTATAAATGACAAAATAATTTATGCTTGCTATAATTTAACCTATAAAAAGCTAGATAAAATTGTTTCCACTTTATGTATTGAAAAATATATTTAAAGAATTAATCATGTGGTAATATGGAGCTATAGATCAATTGTGATGCAGGAGTCGCTAAACTTTTTTGACTTTCGATAAATGCTATCAAATTTCAAATTGAATAGTGTTTATAGATGTAAATCTATAATCGTTCAAAAAATCGTTAAATTGATTTCGACTATCAGGGATTCATTTGGCTGGTTTCGTTGAACTTTAGTTTAGAATTATGCACACAAGCAGCATCCACAGTCACTATAATTCACTGCTTTTTCTAATCTTAACTTTTAATTTTGTCTTTATTAGCGTATTTCAAAAGGTGTGAAAGGTATCTCGAATTCTTGCCTTGATGCCTAGAATTTTGAACGAAATTGAAAGGTCAGAGTTATAAAAGAATGAAACAGGAATAGGAAGTGAAAAATAATCAAATTTAAAACTCTTCGGGAGTAATGGAAAGTTATTAATTTAATGTTAATGATCTTCTCGTTCCTAAAAAATAACACCGTTTAGAGAAAATAAAGCAGCCACAGCATAGAGTTCAAATGAACCATAAATTAAATACTAAACGATTATTGAATGCTATACGTATTCTATAAGAAAAAAGCACTTAACTTAAAATATCTATTCTGTTAATTATTCTACTTTAAGAAAATAGTGCCGAAATATAGATTGAAAATTAATAAACTTTCAAATTTTATTAAATTATTCAAATTCTGCTAATCAAACAACAATTTGTCATTGTTTTATGAACCTTCTGGAAATGTTAAAAAAATGTAGTTTATGTTTGATTAAATTGCAAATTCAACCAATTTATTTATCATCAACCATTCAATTTAGCTTTTACTGCATTTGTAAAGTTTTTCCTAACATCGAAAGGTATGTAAATGGCATGACGTCACCGTCACTGAGCTAATATTTTAAAACTGTAAAATCACGTTTCCCCCCCTATTACACTGTTTTTTACAATTATAGTTTTGAAACGTGTTCCCATGCGTTTAAGTAAGTAAATACAGCAATGTTGAAAAGGAATAACTTGTCTCTCTTTTATAATTTCATTTTAAAACCAATGTGCTAGTATCCTAAAATTTGAATTAAGGGAGTTAGAAGCTTTTTAGCCTTCAATTCCGAAAATGAGACAAAAATCATTTTTTAATTAGAAAATATTTAAACCAGTTTTTGTAATACTTCTGTATATCTAAACGTATTAAAATTAACTTTTATCAACAAGTGGAATTTTTTTTTTCATAATAAAATGTATATGTTTTGCTTTGAACAAAGTCTCTTATTTTCACTTAGGACAAGTTTTTCGATATTTTCGTAAAATAAATTTCGAAACCTACTTTTTTCTTGCGTCTACCGCCCCCCATCCGTTTCTACACGTTTTAATTTAGCCATTTAAGAATCTATTATGGGTGTAAACTTAAAATTAAGGTTAAAATAAGAAGCGAAATTTTCGCTTTAAGAGGACGGCATATCACGGGGGGAGAAAATTTTCGTCGTAAATTCGCTTCCTCCTCCTTATTAATTTAAAACTTAAAGTATAGAAAAATGAGTTCAGACAAACCTAGAGTAAGCCATGCAATTTAAATTGCTGGAAAAAAAATTACCGAAATATCAAAATTCAAACAAATAATTGGAAGAAAACGTCTCCGATCTGAAATCCTAAGTTATCTTCTCAGAATTTATTTTCATTTTGATACTTTAAAAATTTCTTTTCAGTATTTGAAACTTCATGGCTTAGTCTAGGTTTGTCTGAACTCACTTTTTCTGAACTCACAATTAATTTAAAACTTAAAGTATATAAAAATGAGTTCAGATAAACCTAGAGTTAAGCCATGAAATTTAAATTGCTGAAAAAAAAATTACCGAAATATCAAAATTCAAACAAATAATTGAAAGAAAACGTCTCCAATCCGAAATCCTAAGTTATCTTCTCAGAATTTATTTTCATTTTGATACTTTGAAAATTTCTTTTCAGTATTTGAAACTTCATGGCTTACTCTAGGTTTGTCTGAACTCACTTTTTCTTTTAAATTTTTAAATAACATAGTAGAGGTGAAAGAGAACTTACGACGAAAAATTTCTCCCGTGGTATGGCGTCCTCTTGGTCTAAATCAATCTGGGTGGAAATGGCAATTAGATGATTTATTATGACTTCATAATACAAGTAAGAAGTAAGTTTTCTGGTGATCTGACCGAAAAATTTTCTTTCCAAGCATTCTGAGTTTTGCTCTATAGCGTGATCCCTTTGCACTGTTGTGTCTAAAAAATTCCACTGTTGAAAAAAATAATAATAATATTTGAGATTTGTTTTAACCCCATACATTGACTAAACATTCAGCTAGTATTTAATAAAAATCACATGTGCGTAACAAAGAAATCCATATTTTATTTTTAAATTGAATACCAAGGTTAAAAAGAATATATATATTTTTATTTTCTTTCAGTGGAATTCTTTTGAAAAGTAAACAAATATAAATAAATGACTAAAAATAAATAAATGAAAACGAAAATAATCTTTAAATTTTCTAACAGGCTTGAAATTTCTATAATACTTTCCATTTTACTCAATAGATGGAAGCACCAACTATGCAATTTTTTAAAAATTAGCTGAACTAAAATATTATACAATATATAGAAATTTTTTAGAAATTCCATCAATAATTTTAGCAAAAGTAAAACCAGTAACTAAAAATTAAATACAATAATAAATATATAAAACAAAAATTTAATTGCTGCTCGTAATGGGTTTAATATTTTTATACTATTGACATTGTTTCACTTTTTATTCACTAGCTGGCAGCACCATTAAAAACAGGAACTCACAAATTTTACGTGTGATCATCCATCAAAAATGCTCTATTGGTCTCTCTCTTATAGCTGTCACAAATTCTATTTACCATATACCACATTTTTTTTTTAATATTTCTTTTTTCCAAATTTAAACTGTTATTCCTTGGATTTTATTAACTCTCTCTCTCTCTCTCTGTCTTTTTCTTTCTATCTTTTTCACATGCAGCTGCAAACAATTTTAATTTTAGAATCAGTTTAAAGATGCAAATGTCATCACAATTTTTTGAATTAAGGAGAGAGATTGTTTGTTGAGATTCTCATTACATCACGGCAAATGTCTGTCAAAGAGCACCTCTTTAAGATTTTCAAGCAAGGAAAACTTCGCTCACAATATATGTAGGTCCAAAAATTGAGTACTTTTTCCAAGGAAATTTCATTTTCACAACGTTGTCTTAAAAAAATTACAAAATTCTCATCAGTAGAGTGGGTATTTGTTGTCGCCTCCACTCCTCTCCTCCACTACACCCCTATTCAAGGTGAATTTGGTCGGTCGCTAAAGTAATAATAATAATAATAACTCCTATTCATGAGTTCAGAGGGTCGTTTAGGCCGAAAACATTGTTTCGGTACGAACGTTGTGAAATAAAATTAATGTAACTAACACATTACGAAAATTATAAAATTATAAT